GTAGAGACGGGGTTTCACCATGTTGACCAGGATGGTCTCGATCTCTTGACCTCGTGATCCACCCGCCTCGGCCTCCCAAAGTGCTGGGATTACAGGCTTGAGCCACCGCGCCCGGCCAGCCTCACCTCTCTTTAGCCTCTGGCTATGAAGCAGCAGTGGCCTCTCCTACCATAGTGGTATGCACAGGGTACTATGGGAGCATAGGCAGCAATATATAGATGACTTTCCCCTCTGCTTCCTTGAGTTTATGTACTTATTTGTTAAAGCTCCATCATATCTCCATGCCTCATCTACCCCATAGTGTTCTCATGAGGACTATAAGAGATAACATTGCAAAAACAGTGCCTGGCTCTATAGGATTTTTATTATTTTAAAATTCTGAGGTTGGTTTGTTTGTTGTTTGCTAGTAGGCCAAAGGTAGAGAAGAGTCCAGGTGGAATAAGGACAGCATATTTCTGGAAGGGCTCTAGTGTTGGGGATGGAACTTGGGAGGAGTTGAGAGAAACAGGGTGTTTTAGTTCTTACAACCTGGTTGAACATTGGCACTTTGGAGACTTTGTTCCTTAAAACCGTATTTAGATTCCGGGTCAGAGATGAGGATGGATTTATAATTTACAAAGCCCAGACAAGAAGCAGCTTACAACAGCACCCAGCTTAGTAATGGCCCTGCCACAAGCTTGTAGAATAAAATTTGCTTTGTACATGGTCACAAGGATGTGAGAGGGAATCACTGATGAGTTGTGCATAATTATTTTTAAGTGTCTGGAGGAAAGCCCTGCCCCTTGACCATGTTTTTTTAAAGATTATTTATTTTTTTTAATAACTGTTCCTGGGGAGCAGGGTTTTATTTTGGCAATAAGAAAAGAAAGGTTGAAGCAGCAGGGGGTGGGATGTTGAGTGTACTTGTGAGATGTGACTTTCTTAGTAGTGTCTTTGTCCTGGCTCTTCCAACAAGCAAGTGGGCCAGGAAGTCATTTGCTCTTCTCAGACCTCAGTCCCCTCATCAGTAAGAGAACATCGAACTAGATAATCTTTAAGGCTTCTTCTAGCTCTAACAACCTGTGATAGCAGTAATTTCACATTGACTAACATGTACCTTGATTTCTTACCCCTTTCTCATGCCAGGTTTTCTAAGGTCAGCTTTATAATTGCTCTGAGATCCTTCTGACCACTTTATTTATTTGTTTGTTTGTTTGTTTGTTTGTAGAGACAGGATCTTACTATGTTGCCCAGGCTGGTCTCCAACTCCTGAACTCAAGCAATCCTCCCGTGTTTGCCTCCCATAGTGTTAGGGTTACAAGTGTGAGCCACTGGGCCCAGCCAGTCCTGATCATTCTTGCATGACTTCAGTCTATTCTTTTGTTTAATGCTCACATAAAGAGATGCACATCAGTCTGGTCCTTTGCTTGGGACTGAGGACATTGTTCCTTTACCATTAATTAATAGCTGTAAGGTTTGGGAAAATTATTTGACCTCCATTTCTTTATCTGTAAGATGGGTCTGTTGACAATTACCCCAAAGGTCTATTCAGGGAAAGTAAATGAAGCTAAAGTACAGGCAGAATATCTTTCTTCCCAGAAAGGCCGAATGAATTCATCTCTGTTGTTTCTCCAGCAGCCAAGCCCAACACCTCTGGGGAAGCCCCCTCAAGCCCCACCCGTAAGACAAGTCTGTCTTCAAGCAAATGTGACCCCAGGCATAAGGACTGTCTGCTACGGGAGTTTCGAAAGTTGTGCGCCATGGTAGCTGATAATTCGAGCTACAACACGAAGACCCAGATCATCCAGGACTTCCTGCGGAAAGGCTCAGCAGGAGGTGTGGCATGAGCATCCTGAATAGGCTTTTCCTCCAAGAGCTCAATCAAGGCCATGGCTGCCTTCCTAGGCATGTGAGCTGTACAGTTGCTCAGGGTCCCATGCTTGGTTTAATGCTTTACTGTAGAGCTGTCTTGAATTTCTTTTTTT